TCCCTTAAGATGCCTCAGTTTAATCCGCATTTAGCTTGAGAATGGATTCAGGCAGCAGCTCCAAAGGAATGTAGGCACCTCAGGGTTGGCGCAGCAGAATGTAGCACGAAAAACCAAGCGATCCGCTACTCTGGCGCTCAGTTTCAGAGGTGAACGTATCCTCTGGTCTTTGGACGCGTAAGCAGAGTGAGGGATTTCACGGGTGTTTAGGTCCCCCCGTAGGAGGCTGCTGCAGAGGGCAGCCCGCCACCCCCCCCCCCCAGCCTGTCCACAGGCTCTCGATGGCTCTGCAGACACCTCTTCTCTCTGTTAGAAGAGGGAAAGGACACAGGAGGGAAGGGACTGGGAGGCCCCTCTGGGGAGCTGGGGCGCCCTATCCGAGCCCCCACATAATGCCCAATCCAAGGGCCTCCCTCGCTGGATCTTCACTCAGGTGGCTGTCCAAGGACTGTGAAAACCACTACGAGGAACTGGTAAGTGGGGCTCCTGGGGGGGCTCAGTCGGTGAAGTGTCTGACTCTTGATTTCAGCTCAGGGCATGATCTCATGGTTTGTGAGTTCGGGCCCTGCACTGGGCTCTGTGCTAATAGTATGGAGGCTGCTTGGGATGGGATTTTCTCTCTCTCTCTCTCTCTCTCTCTCTCTCTCTCAAAAATAAACATTTAAAACAAACAAAAACTGCCTGGGGTCACAAGAAAAGAAGGAGTACAGACTCAAAACTAAGGCACAAGTGGCCAAGGCGAGAGCCAAAGCCATTGTCGAGGAACCTCGCTGACAAGTCTGTGGTTGAAAGAAAATGGGGATCAAACCTCTCTCTTGACTTACGTAAAGTATGTCATGACATGCATATCAGACCTAGGTCTGCAGTCATAAACACCGAGGCTTTGGGATGTGATAGAGGCTGCTTCCGGGTTTGTAAACTCAGAGCCTTGTTCGATGTGCACTAACCGTTTCCGCCATGGTGAACCCCGCAGCCCTGAAGTCGGGGGCCGGGGGCCAAAGGGACAGGGCATGAGTGAAGGGAGGGTAGCGGCCTGTGACAGCAGCGGACTATCGAGGTACTCCTGCCCCACACACGCGGGGCGTGGCCACGTGACTTGTGGAAGCCACAGAATGTGGGCGGGACTGGTGCGTGGCACACGTCCACCAGCCCCTCTGGAAATTTCTGCACGTAGGCCGCTCCTGTTCCCTGGGACACAGAGCACATGTGACTTTACCGGCAATCCAAGGCAGAGTGAAAGTACATGCTTCCTGTTTCAGGCCACCGAGGTGTTCGTTTGGCCCTGCTCTGAAAGAAGGAACCTCACCGAATCTCATCACATCTGATTCCACTCCAGGGATACAGGCCTGAGCAACTTACAAAGCAGCTGTGATAACGCGTCCAAGAACTGGCTTGGTTCTAGGCTCCCTTCTGATGTCGTAAGAGCGCAGGAGACGTAAAACCTCCATTCTTATTTTTCTGGCTGTTTTTTTTCTTTTTTTCAATTGAGGTATAACTGACATACACTAGTTTCAGGTATACATCATGATGATCTGATGTTGGCATATATTACAAAATGACCACAGCAAGTCTAGTTAACATCTGTTACAGTTTTCTCTCCTTTTTTTTTTTTTTCAAATTTATTTATTTATCTTGAGAGAGAGAAAGAGAGAATCCCAAGCAGGCTGTGCACTGACAGAGCAAAGCCCAACACGGGGCTTGAACCCATGCACCGTGAGATCATGACCTGAGCTGAAACCGAGTGTCGGTTGCCTAATGGACTGAGCCACCCAGGTGCCTCAATTTTTTTCCTCCTTCTTAATAGAAGTATGTTCAAAGAATTATCTTTAAAGCAGCAAGGATCACAGAAAGATAGTAACCATCGGTCCAGAATCTAAGTAACTAGGTAGCTAGAAATAATTGTTTTATTCTCCTCTTGTATGAGGGGCAAGAGACATGGAGAGCAGACATACTGACAATGGCCGTCACCCGGGGGCTGCAAAGTCACCTTGTGTAGACTGTGTTGAGTCCCGTCCTCAGCACAGGTCTGACCCAGGTAGTGGTGGTAGAACAGGGCCCGCCCAGGTGCTTCCTTCCTTCCCGTCACCATGGCACAGAGCACACAGTGTGGACGGCACAGGCCGGCTGAAGCTGGAGTGCCCTCCCGGGTCCCCCTCGGGGCAGAGGCAGCAAGCTGGGGTGCTCCCCCACCCCTCCTCGGTTTCTGGAGCTCCACCCCACAACTCTGCAAACAGTCCCTTTGTTGAACTTCCCGTTACCCCACGCGAGAGTAAGAGAGGCCGTGAATTTCTGAAGATCAGAGTCTTCTGCTAAAAAGCCAGGGAGGGTGAGACGGTTTTACCAACTCCCACGTCCAAAGTGGTGATTCAGTGGGCACCGGGCTGGCTCAGTGGTAGAGCACGTAGGTCCTGAGCTCGAGGTTGTGTGTTCAAGGCCCACGCTGGGAGTACAGATGACTTTGAGAGTAAAAATAAACAACAGAACCAAAATGGCTATTCAGAGGCTACGCTTGTGAGAAGTAAAATCCTTAGCCATCTTGGAAAAACCTAGAAATTCAATTCCACTTAACAGGTGTTTATGAGTGCTTGCCCTGAGCCGTCCATCAGACTGGGCCTCGCCAGGGCAAACAGCTGAGTTAGAGAGCCTACTTCAAGCACTTACAATCACTGTAGAAACACATGAGCCCACCCTGGTTCCTATAGGTTCTGGATAGCTCGGGCTTTCCCTGCTTTTTAGAAACAGCAGTGAAGGGGGTGCCTGGGTGGCTCAGTAGGGTAAGTGTCTGACTTTAGCTCAGGTTATGAACTCGCATTTCCTGAGTTCAACTTCTGCATCAGGCTCTGTGCTGACAGACCAGATCCTGGAGCCTGCTTCAGATTCTGTGTCTCCCCCTTTCTCAAAAATAAAGATTAAAAAAAAAAAGAAGGAAAAAGAAATAGCAGTGAAGGTAGTGTTTGTCCGGTCTGTGTTGTTTACAGATCCTAGAAACCCATTTGTTGCATCCAATGTGGCTTCATGCAGTAAGAAGGAAGAAAACCAGCCAGGCAGGTGCAATCGCAGACATAAATACTCTTGGAGCAAATGCCAGGGGAGCGGCACATGTGTTTTAACGTTCTGAGTGACGGCCGTTTACGGAGGCAGTGATGTGGATAGAACAGATCCAGTATATCATGCTTAGCTTAGCAAGCAGCTGTTATGCTCCTACTGATATTCTATTCTAAGGTCAGCCTCTGGGAGCCTGACTGGTGCCCACAGTCAGGTCACGTGTTTTGTGGGAAACAAACGATCTCATACAACATTAGCCTCACATGAAGCCATGTGGAGCCTGTGGTAGGAGACAAAAGCCCCCATCCTCTGAGCCCCTTCTCTGACCTCTTACTGAGCCCCCCCACCGTGGGGTACACTCCCCCTTTTGCGAGGGGTCACGAGCCCAGCTGCTTCAATTCCAGGTGGCTCCTCGATGCTCTTGACCTGAGGGGCTTGGACCTTCCTTCTAAAAGTGTCACCCTTGGGCCCCATGCATCCTGAGCACAACGATTAGGACAGGTAGTGGAGAAAAGTAGACCCCTGTGCCCAGTAACCCCGTCTTCAAGGTAGCAAGGGCACCCAGTCCTCGGCGAGACGTTGGCACGGAGGGGGAAGGCAGATGTCCCGGCTCAGAGAGGTGCCTTTCATTGTCCTGGGCAGAGTTGCTGATGCTCATGCATGCCATCTATGACCAAACCCTACTTGGGCCCCAGGACCTTTCAACAGGGTCTACTTCCATGTTTCTCTCTGTGTCCAATTTTAGCAAGAATCCTTCTGTATGTAGACGGTCCAACTCCCTAGACACCCCCACCCTATCCCCAGGCGAGCTCTGGCCGCCTGGCCCGCCTCCAGCAGGAATCCTGTTGGGCGGCGTTAGTCAGAACCTTCCCTCAGCCCCTCGGGCTTCCTCAGTACCTTTCCATCCACTGACCCCCACCTGCTCCTGGCCTCTCGGGTCCCACTTGTCCATGTTGTATCTGGAGCTGAGCCCGGCTGCAGACTTTTCTGTCTTCCCCACTGCAATAGTCCTCGGTACCATCTGTTTGCATTGCTGGAGCTACTGTCCGGCTCTGGCTTTTCTCTGACGCTCCTCCGCCGGGCAGTGGCCTGAAGTCCTTTGTCATTACCTGTTGTACCGGGAGTTCTGAGCCATTGGTATATGTGGCCAGCAAGAGGGACAATGGTGGTCCAACAGCTCGCCACGAAGCCACGCTACACTTCCTCTTTGGGCCTTGAATATTGTCCCTGAACCCAGAGGTGTTTGTAAAGGTAAAATGGACGCCTGGCCCTCTACGTGTGGACCACCTTCTGCTTCAGTGGCTTATGACTGAGTTTTTAAATCTTTTTTTAAATGTTTACTTATTTATTTTGAGAGAGAGAGAGAGAGACCACGGAGTTTCATAAAACACACCACAAATATACTGTTAAGAGACCCATAACCACTTTGTTTCAGCAGAAGCAAACTGTAATGAGAACTCAGAATAAAACGGAACTCTGGGCTTTACCTCTGCGTTTCCTGGAAGCCGTAGCAACAACGTAAGATTCAATTAAATTTAAAAACCGGGATCACATCGCTGGTAAGAGGAGGTGGGCAATTTTGACGGGAAGCCCCATCCCCCGCTCCCACAGCGGGACAGGAAAGTGTGTTCTGTGCACATGTGTGCACGTGGTGTTTGCGGGGAGCGCAGAAATAGTCGGTCCAGCTCCTTCAAATGCTTCAGTTGTGGGGCGCCTGGGTGGCTTAGTCGGTTAAGCGTCTGAGCGTCTGACTTTCGCTTAGGTCATGATCTCGCGGTTCATGGGATCGAGCCCCGCGTCAGGCTCTGTGCTGCCTGCCAGCTCAGAGCCTGGAGCCTATTTCAGAGTCTGTGTCTCCCTCTCTCTCTGACCCTCCCCTGCTCACGCTGTCTCTCTCTCTCCTAGAAATAAATAAAAATATTAAAAAAAAAAAACAAAACAAAACAAATGCTTCAGTTGTGCCAACAGGTCTGGAGGGGGTTACACAGAGGGTGTAGGTGTCTGAACCGGGGGCCTCCGGTCTCAAATCTCCAGCGTGACTTGCCCGCCTCTTGCCTTACCCGCAGGGACTGCGGTCACATGGACACACGGTGTGGCCCTCCGGCCGCAGTCCCCATGGGCAGGCTCACACTTGGGGGTGGACGTGAGGCAGGGCTCGTCTGCAGGCCTCAGGCTCACCTTTTGCAATGCCAGCCATGTCCCAGCAGCGGCAGGGAGATTCGGGTCCCCCGGGTGCTCCTGCTGCCCACCACGCGCTGAGCCGCCCAGGGCTCCGGTGGCCAAGCCCGTGCTGGGGCAGAAGCTTCTGGAGCGGCCCGGGCCCAGGATGGGGCTGATGTTGGCCATGGTGGCAGGGAAGGGCCGGGTGGCCGGCCGAGGGGAGGGCATTGCCCTCCTCCCACACAGGGGCGTCTGCAGAGCCGCCTGGCTGTCTTCCCGCTGTGGGGACGTGGCCCTCTCGGCCGTGGCACCAAAGTACAGTGTGGCGCTCTCCTGTCCTCCCCCTCCTCCCCGGCCACCCGCACCCTTGCCCTGCAACGGAGAAACTGCCTCGGCTCCTTCCGTGGCACTGCCCTCCCTCGGTGCAGCTGGCCGCTGCTGGCCGGGAGCCTCATCTGGACTATTGCCGGCTGAAGAGACGTAACTTGAGGTTCCCAGCAGGTCGGCCTCTGCTTTCCAGACAACTTCACAGCCTTTGTCTGAGGAGAGGTGGTCAAGGGGTGACGATGGGAGCCCCTGCTGGGAAGCCCGGGGTGGCCTCGGCTGGCTGTACTGCCAGCCCAACCCCCGCTGAGGGGGACCTAAGAAGCCAGGACCAACTTGTCCAAAGGCTGCGTTGATCTTGGACACATTTCCTGTTTTGAGGGCAAGTTTCAGCAACAGCCAGTGATGGTGACTGAGGAAAGAATCTTCCTGAGCAACCTGGCTTTCCAGCCCAGCCTCCGGGGGTCCCCACTGTGGGCTAGGGGCCCTACCCAGACCTGTTAGCTCATGCCCTTCCTGCGGGCGGGCGCCCGGGTTCCCTAGCCCCTCTCCAGCTATGGCCGAGGCCTGCGGAGAAGGCTCTCCCTCTGCTTTATCACCTGCTGCGACGCCGTGGGCCTTCCGCACCAAGCCCCGCCAGAAGTCTGCGGACTTGGGGTGTAGCAGGCTGTAATAAGTCACCAGCGAGACGCTGCCTGTAAAAGAAGAGAAGGAGGAGTCAAGGTCATGTTCTTTGAAGTCCTGTATCCTCCTCGTGGCTTGAGAATTCCAGACTCTGGAATTCTGAACAGATGACTGTAACTGGGCTCCCAAACAGGACTCTTGCTGGAGTATCAGATCTTTATGTTTTGGGGGGCATTTAAGTAGGCCCCAGCTTCTGCAGGCTGCAGATATGCCTGACCTGGAAATAGTAATAGCCAAGTTCAATCCTGTTGATTCTATGCCTTCTTCCTCGAGGGCGCCTCTGGGCACTCTAGGTATGTAGGCGGCGGGGGGTGGGGGGCGCATAGGCTCATGTTACATGTGTGTGTATGTGCATGTGTGTCAAGTGTCTGCTAGAAACAGAGAAGAGACAGAGGCAGATCACAAGCAGGGGAGGGGCAGAGAGAGGGGGAGACACAGAATCGGTAGCAGGCTCCAGGCTCCCAGCTGTCAGCACAGAGCCCGATGTGGGGCTCAGACTCACAGACCACGAGAAGATGACCTGAGCCAAAGTCTGACGCTTGACCACCTGAGCCATCCAAGCGCCCCTCACTTTCAAGTAACAGAACGAATACTCAGAAGGCAGAGCCATCCACACGGCAGCCGACAGACTCCAGAGCTCGAGGAGGGGGCGGTCAGGATAACCTCAAAAACAAGCCCCAAGGAAAGGCTGAACACATCCATCAAAAAGCCCATATCAAGGAATTTCCACGAGCAGTAGCAACACTTCCTCTGTGCATAAACATCTTAATCATACTGTTGTCAGAGTAATTTATTTTGATCAGAAGTGTTGACGACGGCAATAATTTCTTTAACAGAGCATTCCAGGGGCCTCCCACGTTATTTCCAGTTTCCTGTTGTACTAGATCAAGTGCTTGGTTTCAGGGCACTCACTATAAACAGCAAGGAGCCTGAAGCCGGAGAGGGGGTCAGAGCCCCGGAGGAGCTGGCAGGCGGCAGCGCGACGGAGCTGGGGGCGGGGGGGCTCACACACGGTCCCGTGGACCCTCTCCCTGTACTTCTGGGGGATGAGGTGTGGGGGTAACAAAGCGGGCCTCCTGGGGGGAACGGAGACAGCACTCCTGTGGGGTGAGTGTCGGCCCTGCCGCGGGCGCCCCTCAAACCATTTCTACCCGCCATTCTGAACTCACAATGCTGGTGGGCGAAGGGTCACTCATCTTTTATAATGAGCCACCCAAGGTCAGAAAAGGGAACTAACTCCCCTTATCAGCCAAGTCCACAGTACACACATTTTATGAGTAGCCTTTCAGCCAGCCCACGTCATTCACAGGGTTATGGGTTACAACACCCGGCTGGCATGCAGTAGGAACTCAATAAAAGTTGGTCAAGGGCTCTCAAGCTGTGAGCTAGTGCTGCCTGTTTGTAAAGCCTGTGTGCCTTTGGGGCGCCTGGGGGGCTGAGACAGTGGAGTGTCTGACTTCGGCTCAGGTCATGATCTCATGGTTCATGAGTTCGAGTCCTGCATCGGGCTCTGTGCTGACAGCCCAGAGCCTGGAGCTGCTTCGGATTCTGTGTCTCCCACTCTCTGCCCCTCCCCCGCCTGTGCACTCCATCTCTCAGTAATAAGTAAGTAAACATAAAAAACATTTATAAAGCCTGTGTGCCTTGGACTAGAGCTCACCCACCGTCTTCCTGCTGAGGGCTCCCTCCGGGGCCACCTGGGAGTCCGGGTTTGGGCAGCTCCGGAAAGAGGGGGAGAAGGATCAGCAGGTGGCTCTGTCTGAGCCCTGGAGCTGACCCTTGTCCCCAGCTCCCCGCTCACTGTGCCCTGGGCCACCGCGCTGAGAATGAAAACACCCTCGCTCTCTCCCTCCTTTATTTTCATTTCCCAAGAATGGCCAGGAACCCCCTTCTCAGCTCCCGTCCACCTGTGAAGCCAGGTTAACGCCGTGGGCAAGGTGTGCTCTGAGTCACGCGTTCATTCACAAAGCCAAGCTGACGATCTGAACTGCCAGGCCCCGGGCAGACGCCGGGCGGGAGCAGGGTGTGCGTCCCAGGTCTGCCACCTGCACGGTGTCTGATCTTACAGCACATTATTTAGCTTCCTCTGTGCCACCCTCCTCAGCTCTGGATTGGGGGAAATCTGGCACCCATGTCGTGGGGTTCCTGTCGGCATACAGCACGCGGCGTCATGGGGGGATCCCTGCTCTGCTCCCCGATGCTGGGGTACTGAGGTGGAAAGCAGAGGGGAGTCACGGCTGGACCCCAGCAGAACCCCGAGGAGGATGCCCTGCCCACGAGTCCGTTTTGCTAGAGCGCACAGCGTGGGCATCTGCTTGGGTTCCGGATGAAGGCCGCGTCCAGTTGCTGATGTCCTGGTGGGGCCACAACCGGAGGCACAGTGAGCTCCACGCCTTGGTCTCCAGCTCACCACTGCTGGGCATAGTTTCCTGCTTTTGGTGTTAGTTTATATTGTAAAGAAAAAAGCGGGGGGTGGAGAGGGAGGGAACATCGGGCCTTACCGATCAGAAATCCAGACAGGACTCCGGCGACGGTCCACAGGCTGGTCTGGGAGGCCCCCTGGAGAAAGTCGGTGGCCAACAGCAAAAGGATGATGTTCTCCAGCAGCATGATCTATGGGGCCCAAAGGGAGAGTCACCACCAAAAGTCATGTGCACATGGCCTCGGGGACACTCATCCTAAATTCCGCCGCGGTGTCCTTCAGCATTGGAGGCTCCGTCCTCAATGCCCACTGGGGTGCCCACGGCTGACCCCGCCCCCCAACAGTAGCAGGGTCAAGGTCTGAGAGAGCTTCTCTGGCAAAGGGGGAATTCTCCCTCTTCTCAATGCAGCTCATTAAAATGTCTGCAGAATCATAAATGCACATGGAACGTAAGGGCAGAGCCCACGTGGCTATTGGGGCTCCCTTTGCTGAGTCAGGTGGGCTGAGGGAGGGGACTTTTATTTCCAGTTTTAGACATTTCACATTCTCATGTTGAGTGCACGTGTGTCTTAGTTTTATCATGCAATAATTAAAAGTATCTGAAGAGCTCAAAACCCCATTAAATTCCTGAAATCCAGTACACTAGTGTCATAAACTTTTATAATGACGTTAGTGTCGTTTGTTCAATTATGTGCCTCTTTAGAGGTAAATTTGGCCTGTGGCCCAAGTGACAGCAAGGGAAGGCACTCCTGCTGGCTGAAAATGGAGCCTTCCTCCATGGTCCAAAATGGCGGCCACTCTTACAGAAGGCTCTTCCTACCCCCATCCAGGCTGGCTTCTTAACTCTGGTTGCCAGTTTTTATATATATATTTATATATTATTTATATATATTTATATATTATTTATATATTTATATTATATATATTTTTTAAAATACATAAACAAATTGGACGTAATTAGAAGATGATATATTTCAATATTATGTAGGAGACGTTAAAAACTAAACTCTAATACCGTTAGGCCAAAAGTCTTGGAAATTTTTGCCACGGTCATACATGGGCACCATTTTAACTCCAGGAAAGTCAGCTAAGAAGAGAATTGAAACTGTTATTAAGAGCTGCTCAACAACCCTAAGGATGCCCACTCTCCCCAGGCCTCTAGGCTATGGGCAGCAGTGTTTCCAAGGTTCAGGACGCATATTTCAGCAATAAGTGGCATTACCCACTGGCCCAGTCCACAAAAGGTGGGGTTTCTCTCTCTCTGCTCCTTACATTAACCACGTCTCATCAGCTATCTGGTCTGTTGAGCCCAATCCGTATGTTTGTCTCAAATCCATTGCCTTTTGCCTGTCCTTCCTGCCATTTTCAAAGTGTGACCCTGTCACTTCCTGTCTGGGTCCTGTTCCCTCTGCCTTCGTGACCCATCCACAATCTCTCCTCCACACCACTGCCCGGTAATCTGCTTCACCTGCAGATCAGACCTTGTCACCTCCCCCAACACACCTCGAGACAGCCCCATCTCAGCCTAGGGCCACCAAGACCCCATCCCCGATCATGCAGGCAATCCTGTTTACAGAGCATCCCCGAGTTCCCTTTCCAGAATCATCCTCCAACATGCGGCTCCCACAATGACTACAGATGTGATGGGCCACAAGTGCTGCCTGGCTGCCCAGATGCCGGTAAAACAGTATTCCGGAGTGTGTCCATGAGGGTGTTTCCAGAAGAGGTTAGCGTTTCAATCAGTACACTGAGTAAAGACCATGACCCTCGGCAGTGCAGGTGGGCCCCGTCCAATCTGTGTGTGTGTGTGGGGGGGCCAACAGAAGAAGAAAGTGAAGGAAGGCAAATCCTCTCTCTTCTTGAGCTGAGACACCCATCTTCTCCTGTCCTTGGACAATGGGCTCCTAGCGCTTGGTCCTCTGGACTCAGACTGAATTACATCACGTTTTCCTGGTTCTCCGGCTTCTAGACAGCATACTGTGTCCCACCTCAGCCTCCATGATCGCATGAGCCAATCCCCATAATAACCCCTCTTAAGTATTTCTACATACCCTACGGGTTCTGTCTCTCCAGAGAACCCTGACAGATACGATGACATTCCGCTGACAGACTCTCCTCGACCAAAGCTGACACAGAAGGCATCTCGAAGCCCTCGATCAGCCTCAAGCTGGTCAAAGTACAGCAAATACTTCTATCGCCGCTCCACTCTCTCCTCACCCCTACACGTTGAGAGAACAAACACTAACACAGCTCCTAACCACTCACGGCTGCATCCCTAAGGTGAGGACCCTGGCCCCAATCAAGTTTCTGCCTAAGGAAGCGAACACTGCTGGGAAGATTTCCTGTTCATTCCAGCCAAAGTCTGGGGAAAGGCAGTTAGGCCCTGACCCCCCTCTTAGACCTATTACTTTAGAAAGCTTGTAAGTGCAGGGGTGCCTGTGTGGCTCAGTGGGTTCAGCGTCCAACTCTGGACTTCGGCTCAGGTCATGATCTCACGGTTTTGTGAGTTCAAGCCCTGCATCAGGCTCTGAGCTGACAGTGTGGAGGCTACTTGGGATTCTCTCTCTCTGTCCCTCCCCTGCTCGGGCTGTCTCTGTCTCTCTCAAAATAAACGGAAGGAAGGAAGGAAGGAAGGAAGGAAGGAAGGAAGGAAGGAAGGAAGGAAGGAAGGAAGGAAGGAAGGAAGCCTAGGCATACAAATCCTTTCTCTGTGTCTCTGAGGTGTAAGTTGTCTGCCATCCAGAATGGCCTCCTCAAGGACCTGAGAGCCGTCTCTTTGAACTGCTAACATTCAAGATCAGCCTGCAGGCCTGGCAGGCGGGGTTGGGGGCGGTGGAGAGCTTGCTCTAACTTGCATGAACTACAGCCTCCTGTCATTCAGATACAAGAAGTGAGGGCCTCCCGATAAATGCCAGCAAACTAGATATCACAGTCCAATTAAGCTTCCCTTTCCCACTTGCCATACATTTCCTTTCCCTTGATCTGCTCAAACGTCCCCTCCACATCCCCAGCGTCCCTTTAACATATGCACGCACCTCTGCACAACAGACGAGGTGGGCTCCTGCCTGACCCTCTTCCCTGCTGCGATGGACTTCACTAGCTCTGTTTTCATCGCCTTTATTTTTTTTAACTTTTTAAAATATTTGCTTATTTTTGAGAGAGAGAGAGAGAGACAGCGTGAGCAGGGGAGGGTCAGAGAGAGGGAGACACAGAATCTGAAGCAGCTCCAGGCTCTGAGCTGTCAGCACGGAGCCGGACACGGGGCTCGAACCCACAAACCGTGCGATCCTGACCTCAGCTGCGGCCGGACAGTTAACCGACTGAGCCACCAGTCGGCGCCCCTGAGGTGCCCCTCGCTGCATTAACTAGGGGCCTGGTCCAGCTTATCCTCCGTGCCACCGCACGCGTGTTCCTGGGGACTCCTTGGTACTCCGTGTTTTGCTTCTGTAGCGTTTTCCTGAAATGCCCCGGAGCCCTCACCACGCCTTCTCCGGGCCGCGTTCAGCTCGGAGACCCGGCTGTACCGCCTGCCTTGGCCGCTGGTACTCCTGCAGGTGTCTGAGCGTCATTTCTCTGGCCACAGCGGCTGCGTCCATGCGTCTGCGTCTCTGGCCCCTGAGAATCGACCTGCCCACACCCTGGCATCGGATCCCCTGCTGGCGCACGAAGGAGGCCGTGTGCGCAGGCTCAGCTGAACAAACGGGTGGCACGGGTGGCACATGGGAGGGGTCACACCTGGCTTTCCCCTTCCCACACCCCCAGGGGCCGGTTTCCACCTGTGGGGCAGAAGGTCAGGTGAACGTTCTCCATTGGGCTGACCATCGGCACCACGTGATGCGCTTCTGAAATGCCGACTCCAGGCCCCACTCGGACCTGCTGGGTGGAGCCGCTGACACGGCACCTGCGACCGACTTTGAAGAGGCTCCCGAGTGCCGGTGACAATCACCCAGGCTGAGACGTGGTCCCACAGTGGCCCCAAGGCCTTTCAGCTCAATGCTCCCAGCTCCCTGCCCGGCCACCGCTGGCCCCACAGCATCAGACCATGCTGTCTGAGCAGATCCCTGACCGTTCCACGCCTCAGTGTCTGCATCTGTAAAATGGGTTTCGGTTCATCGAGTGTGGTGAGAAAGAAGATAGTTAATGAATGAGCTTAGAACAGCGCCTGGTGGCTTGGGGCGCCTGGGTGGCTTAGTCGGTTAAGCGTCCGACTTTCGCTTAGGTCATGATCTCGCGGTTCGTGGGTTCGAGCCCCGCGTCGGGCTCTGTGCTGACTGCCAGCTCAGAGCCTGGAGCCTGTTTCGGTCTGTGACTCCCTCTCTCTCTGACCCTCCCCTGCTCACTCTCTCTCTCTCTCTCCTAGAAATAAATAAAACATTAAAAAAAAAAAAAAAAGAACAGCGCCTGGCGCCGGACGACCCTGCCCGAGCTGTTAGCTGTACTAAGGGTTCTGTTAGGATTCCCAGGGTCTGAAGGTGAGAACAAGAGGTCTCAGGACAGGAACTCATCACGGCACAGGACCTACAGGAATACAAACGCTTTGTGCTTTTGTCGAGTGAATCAGTGAGAGAATTCCAGAGGTCCCTGCTTTGACCTTGGAGACAGGTTTCCATTATTTAAGCAAAGCCATTAGCCATTAAAATCCAGAGCGACCCCAAGCCCCCAGGCCCATCCCCCTCAGCAAGTGGATGTCCAAGTAGCCTGCGGTCTTCTGGCTTCTGGAACAGCAGCAACAGAGGCAGGTGCAGCGTTAACTTTCTCTTCGGCGACGCTGCACACTTCACCCCAAAGGAGTGACATTCTGTCGGGGCCGGGGCTCCTGTCTCTCCCAGGGAAGGCGCCTGCTGGGGACGGCGCGGCAGGCCTGACGTTGGAGCGGTGTTGGCAGGAGGCTGGGACCAGACGCCCGGGGATCAGGGCCCCGCCTGGGCAACCTCGCTGGCCAGCCCGTGACCCTGGACGTGCCAGGTCACCTCCGTGGGTGGAGTCCCCAGCTGTGACGAGCCCGCAGGAGTGAGGCTGCGCGGGAGGCTGGACAGTAAACATACCTGCATCTGAGGAGTCCGCCTTCTGCCTGAGGGGCCAGTGACGGATCTTCCGGAGCCGCGAATGTGACCCCTCTCTGGATGCACAGGCTCCTCAGCAGCCCGCCCTCCTCCCGCACAGCGACATGGTGTACCGTTATTCCTGGTTCTCAGACGGGGAAATCGAGGTCTGGAGCGGCTCCATACCACGTCCTGCACCACGAATCCTCACGGTCTGTGGGCCCCGTAGCCTGTGGGGTTGATAAGCCACTCGGGGCTCCCCTAAAAACAGGAGATGACCACACCACCCGCTGCCTCCTAGACACTTCCGTGGGCTCATGGCTCCATCCTGGAAGGCCCCTGAGAGTCTCCTCCGCTTTCTAGCGCCAACAATGGCCACGATGTGTTGGTTATTTGGTGCCAGATTATGTATTTAGTCTTCAGTGTGGGCCCTGAGAAGCGGGCGGAGCCTATAAAACCATCGCAGGAATGTGAGAGGCCCTGTTCCTAAAGTGCGATGAGAAAACAGCTTCAGGGCGTTTAAATCCTCGGCCAAGTGCATTGGTGACAGTAAATGGTGAGCCACAGCTCCAACGCAAGCGCCCATCTCCAAACCTGTGTTCTGCGGCGCTGGCTGCATTTTCTCACCGTTGCTCTTTGCCATGCAGCTAACCTGCCCCCTTCTAGACGGGGGCGCCTCTGGTCGCCCGACAGGAAGTGATCCCCGCCACACCCGTGAGTTCACACCGGCTTGGCTACTAGGACTTACCCACATTCTGCCTCATGGGCTGCTTATTTGGGAATGGAGCCCATCCCCCCACTGGGCTAGAAGGCGGCCCGATGACAGGCATTCTGTCACCTCCGTGGTTTTTGCAACATCCTAGGAACCAGCATGGAACTCGGTGATGACTGAGCCGATTAACTAGGATGCTGCGTATATGACATGACACAGGTGAGCTGCGATTATAGTTATCAGATGTAGGCAGTTGTTCAAAAAACACAGTTCCTACTACGTGAACTGTGTGGCAACAACTGGATGTCAGACTACGATGTTCGGAGCCTGTCACTGTCAAGATAGTGATTCCTTTCAGGATTTTTCCTAAGACCAAGCTACTTCTTCTTCAGTAGATTCGGGTGCACAAGTACACACAGGCCCACATGTACACTCACACACATGTGCACACACGCGTCCCTCTATACATATGAAATTTATGAAGTTAGGAGTCAAGAAAGCCATCTCTGCCACTTGCCATATAGAACACGGCCATGCGATTTCTGGAAGGGCCGTCCCAGACGTTGAGGTAGCAGAGGATGTACACGGCCCCCACCAGCAGGTTGAACAGCCTCCAATGGCAGGTGCTGTCGATGATGTCGCTCTGCTGTGCCACAAGCCAGAAGGTCATCACCAGCCAGTGGGCACCTGGAGGGAGGCAGGCCATGGAAGTCAGGGTCCGGGAGGGGCCCTGGGGAGGGGCTCCGGGGAGGGGCTGGGGCACCGACAAGGAGACGGGGCGGGGGGGGGGGCTCGGAGCCATCCTGTCTGTCCTGACCCCACCAGACTCAGCTTCCGAGACGAGCGACCAAAACCCAGGAGGGATCTGCAACTTTTATCACCAGTAGCTTTTATCTTTGCCCAAAGTATCTCACCTGGTCCTCGTAAAGGGCAGTTGAACAATTTGGGGACCAGCACACAAAAGTTAGCCTCAAGGACACCCCCCAGACACTACGTACTGATGCACTTCCAGTTACAGGAGGTGTTTAAGGAGGCTGTTACGAACCCCATGCCTCACTATTTTTTTTTTTTTTTGAGAGAAAGAGGGTGCAAGTGAGAGAGGGGTAGAGAGAGAGGGACAGAGAGGGAAGCCAGGCTTGTGCTGACCTGATGCGGGGCTTGAACTTACAAGCTGTGAGATCATGACCTCCGAAGTCAGATACTTAACCAACCAACTGAGCCACCCAGGCACCTCGGGCTCATTATATTTTAAATCACTGGTTCAAGAGCTGAAAGCCTCCACATCCAATGGAAAGATCTGTATGTGGTCCAGCTATAATTTTTATTCCTATATTTTAAGATGAATAATATCTTACTGAAGTTTGTGCTGAATTTCAAAAAATGAATAAAAACGCCAATGTCTCTTTAGGAGCACAATTTCTTTCAAAAATTTCTCCTTCCTGCCAACAAGGGTATTAACACTTGTTCTAGGCCTCAGTGTAAATATTTCTCAGTGCCTCCTGTTCTCTTAAAACGTGAGTACACTTCCTTCTAACAGAGTGTATTCCCTGATGGCCAGAAGAGATACTTCTGCTCGGTGGGGGACACTGAGACCCCACAATGCTCCTGCAGGGTCAGGTAGACCCCCTTGACACTATTCACATCCACGTACCTAGACTGAGGTGGGGGTGAGAGGTGGGCTCAGTGGAGGTGCCCTATTTGAAACAGAGAAGATGTCGCAAATCAGCATTCAGAAGACATGGAGGGCTCTCAGAAGCTGGGCCCCCTATCACAGTATGTAGTGGGTATTTTTCTTTCTTTCTTTTTTTTTTTTTTACAAATAGTTTATTGTCAAATTAGTTTCTACATAACACTCAGTGCTCATCCCCAAAGTGCCCTCCTCCGTGCCCATCCCCCCTCCCCCCCACACCCATCAGTCCTCAGTTTTTGTCAGCATTCAAGAGTCTCTCATGGTTTGCCTCTCTCCCTTTCCCCCACCATTTCCGCCCTTCTTCTCCCCCTCGTTCCTCCGTCAAGTTCCTCCTAATCCTCCTATACGTGCAAACATATGATATTTGTCCTTCTCTGCCTGACTTATTTCGCTCAGCATAACACCCTCAAGGTCCATCCATGTTGCTACACATGGCCAGATTTCATTGTTTCTCATTGCCATGGAGTATTCCATGGTATAGATAAACCACATCTTCTTGATCCATTCATCTGTTGATGGACACTTAGGCTCCTTCCATGTTTTAGCTATTGTGGAGAGTGCTGCTATGAACATTGGGGTACATGTGCCCCTATGCCTCAGCATTTCTGTATCCCTTGGGTAAATTCCTAGCAGTGCTATTGCTGGGTCATAAGGGAGTTCTATTGTTAGTTTCCTGAGGAACCTCCACACTGTTTTCCAGAGGGGCTGTACCAGTTTACATTCCCACCAACAGTGTAGGAGGGCGCCCGTTTCTCCACATCCTCGCCAGCATCTAGAGTTCTCTGATTTGCTCATTTTAGCCACTCTGACTGGCGTGAGGTGGTATCTCAGTGTGGTTTTGATTTGTATTTCCCTGATGAGGAGGGATGCTGAGCATCGTTTCATGTGTCTGTTGGCCATCTGGATGTCCTCTTTGGAGAAGTGTCTGTTCATGTCTTCTGCCCATTTCTTCACTGGGTTGTTTGTTTTTCGGGCGTGGAGTTTGGTGAGTTCCTTATAGATTCTGGATATTAACCCTTTATCTGATATGTTATTTGCAACTATCTTTTCCCATTCCGTTGGTTGCCTATTAATTTTCTGGGTTGTTTCCTTGGCTGTGCAGAAGCTTTTAATCTTTATGAGGTCCCAACAGTTTATTTTTGCTCTTGATACCCTTGCTTTTGGGGATGTGTCAAGTAAGAAGTTGCTGCGGTGGAGGTCAAGGAGGTTGTTTCCTGCTTTCTCCTCTAGGGTGTTGATAGTTTCCTGTCTCACGTTCAGGTCCTTTATCCATTTTGAGTTGATTTTTGTGCATGGTGTGAGAAAATGATCTAGTTTCATTCTTCTGCATGTTGCTGTCCAGTTCTCCCAACACCATCTGTTAAAAAGGCTGTCTTTTTTCCATTGGATATTCTTTCCTGCTTTGTCAAAGATCAGTTGGCTGTATACTTTTGGGTCCATGTAGTGGGTATTTTTGTGTTACATCAGGACAGGCGGGACCCTATGCCTCCCTCCTGTCTTTCTACAGAAGGATCTCAGCCGTGATACGGGACATGGTCTTCGGAGGAATGCTCAGAGCACCTGTAGCTGTGGTCTGGAGCCGGCCAGGCTGAGGGCTGGGCTATCTACATCACAGGAGCGTGTCTCCAGAGAGACAGCCACCATATACTGGCCCCTCACCGCACCCCTGTGGCGGATGGGGTCTCTTTCTTCAAGCTCTGGACTGTGGACGGGTCATTACTACTTTGACAGGTATTATACAGCAGAAGCCGTGCTGACCCAGGGCTCGGCTGGCCTTAGGGGGCCGGCAGCGTCCCTCTGATGTCTCCTGGAACCCCCATCCACCCTGTCCACGCCCAGGCTGCTCTGCTGAGGAGAAAGGGCACACGGGCACCCATACAGACTGAGGCCGCCGTCTGTATGCCCAGCCCAGTAGAGCCTCCTTATGAATTCCTACAGCGCCCACCTGAGGCCCCCTGAGCAGGAACGCCCGTGGCCCCTCAGAAGGGAGTACGATGGTGGTAAATGGTTACTTTAAGGCATTAAGTACTTCATACGTATGTGATGAATCACTAAATTCTATTCCTGAAATCATCATGACACTACATGTTAACTAACGTGGATTTAAGTTAAAAATAATAATAAAAAATAAACACATAAATGATGGGGGATAAAATAAAATGCATCCAACAAAACAGAAGGCGTTCCATCCCGGCTGGTCTGTTGCACACAGCGACAGCCGCGGAACACGCTCCACTCACCTCCAAACACGAGAGCCCAGGCGCGGTGAGCGCGGACGAAGAGAAGCAGACTGGGGACGCGGGCGCCCAGCATGCCCATCCTCCAGAGCCGCTGGCAGAGCAGGGCGGCCCGGCCTCGCCAGGCCCGGGAAGCAGGCGTAGCCCACCAGGGCCCAGGCCGGCGCGGACCAGGAGCACAGCGCGCTCACGCCTGGAAGGCGAGCGGACGACAAGCGCGCTGCGGGCTGGCCCACGCCTCCGGACGGCCCGGCCCAGCGCCCCGGTGCGGAGAGGGTGCCGCGGCTCGGCAGGGACACGTGTGCACACGCACAGCAGCCGGTCCTCTGCACAACGCAGGGCGGGCGCTTTCCCGGCACGCGAGCGGGGCCCTTCCCTTCCAGGCCCTTTGAGAAAAGTGTGGGGGGCACTGACCCTCGCGGCCCTCCGCCCAAGCTCTGTGTAAGGACGCAGCTGAAGGGGGCGCCTGGCCACGGAGCGCCATCCCAAAGTACTGGGCGCGCAAACTGTCTCCGTCCCGGTTTTCCGCAGCAGGACAGGCGTGGGGGACAGGCTTGGGGCGTGTTTTCTTGGAGCCAGTGTCCCTTCATGTGGGGGTTTAGCCAGAGAAATAAAGTCAGAACACAGAGCGTGCCAGGCCGCACGATAAAGACGGACAGAAGCACAGCGCAGCCGTGAGTTCTAGGGCCGTATCATGAGCACACACAAATGTGGGCGCTCCCCAGAGAGGGGGGAGGAGGAGGAGGCTGGCGGAGAGTCAAGAGGAGCCCAGGAGGAAATGGGAGGGGGGGAGACTACGCCATAGAAAATGCAGGCTGGTGACACGGTGACATGTTTCACGCATGAGATTTGCTCTCGGTGGGTTAGGCCTCTGGCTGCGTCAAGTTAGGCCAGTGCCTGAGGACATGGGAGAAACTGAGGCACTGGTGCCCCTGAGGGACAGCGTGTGGTCCCTTCCCGAGTACGTCCAGGGCCGTGTGACTATGCACCACCTCCGTCTTGTGGACTGACCCGCAAAGGAAGCCCACCTCAAACAGAAGCCCGTTTGGGCTGTCGTCTCATGCCAGCAAGCGCGGGCTGCCCCAATTCTCCCCAGCACGGGCAGATCTGGGGCTGCCAGGCTTTTCAAAGTCCCTCATTTCTACTCCCCTCGGGAAGTAGGGGGGTCTGTGCTCGGGGGTCGGACATGTCTCACCTGGCACCACGTCTGTGAAGTCCGAGGCGAGGAAAACGTACGTTTGAAGCAGCAGGTGGGGCCCCGTCTGCAGGAGGGCTTCCAGGAGGCGGAGGGCCGATACGTCGGCCTCCTGCAGCAGCAGCTGGCCTCGGCGGGAGGCTTCCCGCTCCGTCCGTAGAGCAGCAACGGCGGTGTCCCAATGCCTGAGGATGAGCAAGGGCCCGGGTGCAGAGTCAGGCTGTGACAGCTTTCACAGGATGCCCACACCCCTTTTTCTGGCCTATCATATGCAGGATTCTAAAATTTTTAAAAATACTTTTTTTTTTTTTGAGAGAGAGAGAGCGAGTGAGCCTGAGCAGGGGAGGGGCAGAGAGAGAGAGAGAGACAGAATCCCAAGCAGGTTCCGCACCGTCAGAGCAGAGCCCAATGCAGGCCTCGAACTCACAAGCCATGACGTGATGGCCTGAGCCGAAGAATCGGCGCTAAAGCACTGTCTGGAGACAGCCAGCTGCCAACTGCCTGGTCCCAGGAGGCGGGCCTGGCCCGGAGGACAGCAGGGAGGGGAGGCCAGTCCCCAGCGGTCAGCGGGACTCAGACCACAGGGACACACCAGCTCCCCCAGGCTGGGCGACATTCCTATGGTCCATGAAAAGGAATCAACACAAGAAAAAATAAATTAGGAAACGTTCCTGTACCTTTCTGTTTCCCATAAACTCATCGTAGAAACCTCCGCCGATACTGCCCTGTGACGAAAGCTGTCTGGAAGGTGACACGGGTCACTCTCCTTCACCACCTGGCACTGTGGACTTTGGGTTTCCGCACAGGGGTCTCCCTCGTGCACCGGTGTCCCTCCCTCACGAGCAGGAACAATGGCGGGGGGGGGGTCACTACACCTGCCTCCAGCACGTGTCCACCAAGTCCACCTGGGATGTGAACCTCTCTTGTTCAAGTTAGGGAAGACTGGAAGTCATTTCAATTTACCTGCCCCTAAATCAGAGCACAACACACCTTCACATCACCTGAAAAGCTCCCTCGCTGAGGAGCTCCCCGGGTCGCTGGCCGTGCAGAGGACAAGTCTCTGTGTGATCTCTGGCCAACATGTCCATGGTCAGGGCGGATGGGGTTGCTCTTCAAAATGGGCTTATTCATGGCTCTGAGGGCCCAGGAAAGATGCTAAGGAAAAGTTTTCCTTTTTCATGACTGGGAATCCCAAAGCTGACTGATTTCTTACCGCGCCTTTGAAGCTGTGATTTCTGACAGGAACATAATGTTAAGAAAAATAACAACAACACAGAAAGCCACAACTGTAAACATCAGGGGGTGTTTCCCTTTCAGTCCTGAATCATCTGCCCCTGAAGCCTTCACTAGTCTGAGGCGCATTTTCACTGGGCTTTCGCCACCTGCTGGAGACAGCAGAAGGCACAAAAGGAAAGCTGTTCTCTAGAAGCCCAAGGCTCCGCCGGGGAAAAGAAACCATATGCACATGAAAAGTTTAAGCAGGAAGAAAACTGTATGGCAGTGAGCGCTGTGGATGGTGGATCGTGGATGGTGGGTTGTATGTAGTGGGTCGTAGTGGAACCAGCCTAGGAACGGAGAACAGCGTGGTCAGGGAGGGCTCCCAGGAAAGAAGGGGTGCACGTACCTTGTACTGGCAGCCAGGGAGCAAGGTCTATGAGAGCATTTGTGGGGCTGGTGGGGTCTCCTGAAAGGTCGGCTCCATCATGGGGGCTTCATGATAGGTGAGGCAGGAGCCGGCCAGCAGGAGTCTCCTAGGGTCTAGCTGAGGGTTTGGGTCTCATTTCTAAGAAATACGAGCAGCCAGGGGGAATTCAGTCCACCTGGTTTTCTGAACGGGGACCTGGATCCTGTTGCAGATTGAGATCACTGGAGAGCCGCTGGGGGTGCCCAGGGTCAAAGCGGATGCCAGGTGGGGGCGGCCGGGGGCAGGGAGCGGACTGGTCAGTAGCTCCTGTCAAATCCCGTCCTTGGGGTTGATGTCTCCAACTGGTCCTTGCTGGTTCCCTTGGATTTCCCACTGGCCCTTGGTCTCCCCCCAGCATTCCATTGCCTTTACTGTCCCCACAGCCATCTCCCTTAGCATCTCATTGGACTGTGTGAGTCCTTTGCTTACACCTTTCCAATGGGTCTCACATGCCTGGAGTAGAACACAAATTCCTTCCCTCGTGACAAGTCCCTGCAGGATGCAACCCAATCTGCCTCCGATCTAGAAAATTCTTGCCCTTGGCTCACATTACAGCAAAGTGCTAGTTGACCAAGCACAGGATCTCTGCGAGCCTTTCTGCCTCCCCCACCTGCCTTGGAAACTGTTTTGAGTCCCATTTCCCTGTGATGAGTGATGTTGGCAATGGCTGTATTTTACATATCTTTAAATATAAGTAACCTTACAGTTCACCTCAACTTCCTCTTTAAGAACTTGTAGCTTCCACTAAAGAAAAATTTCTAAACCAGGAGAGATCCTAAGGATGGGATGAATTAGACAGTCTTCCAACCATTTCATGCCGAGGTTCCAAATGGATTCACACAGCCTTAAACGTTTTTTAAAAAGATGTCCACGGGGTACCTGAGGGGCTCAGTCGGGTAAGCGTCCAACATCAGCTCAGGTCATGATCTCAGAGTCCGTGGGTTCGAGCCCCATGTCGGGCTCTGTGTGACAGCTCAGAGCCTGAAGCCCGCTTCAGATTCCATATCTCTCTTTCTCTCTGCCCCTCCCCTGTCCGCACTCTCTCTCTCTCTTTCAAAACTAAACATTAAAAAAAAAAAAAAAAGATTCCACAACATGTATCATTATAGTGGAAATGTAAAAACTAAATGGAGAGGGGCGCCTGGGTGGCTTAGTCAGTTAAGCGTCCGACTTTCGCTTAGGTCATGATCTCGCGGTTTGTGGGTTCGAGCCCCGCGTCGGGCTCTGTGCTGACTGCCAGCTCAGAGCCT